GTAGGTACCTCCTTTACTTTTTACTTCTTCTTATTTGGGAAGCGTTTGTCGGTTTGGGCCGAGAACAAAAAACTTCGCCAGTTGCAGATTTTGCGCCAGTTGTTCATCTCATTTTCATGTAGAAAATTCTAAACGGAATTTTATTTGTAATTTTTTCAATGATGGCTATTTGTACCCCTTTTTAAGTAAGATTTTAAATAGAATAGAAATCATTAATAAAAAGGAAGTCTTTTATTTTCCAGATCTATACAACGTTTTAGGGCGCGCTAAACCTTAAACTTTATTTTTATATCTGCAGCTTTTGCAAAAACTTCCTTAGGTATTCCTTTAGAATACTGTTTTAAGCAAGAACATTTTTTCAAATTTTATAACACAATTTTTGCATTTGAAAAAAAAAAAATACCCTCTCAAATCTTCTTTTGAATAGTTTGTAGTTTATCGATCGATACACAAACGTCTGAGATATAGCGAATTTAAATGACTATTTTGTTAAAATTTTCTATCACAGTATGATGTTTTAATTCGTGCAAGGGAACGGAGCCGAAATCACGCGATGGAGCGTCGCGAGCGCACTCCAAAACGCTTTATAACCCGGAAAAACAAAAAAAAAAGGTCCCTTTTTTATTAATGATTTGTATGTAAAAAGACCTGATCTGTCGATTGAAATAAATAAAAATTGTATAAATGTATTTTTTTTATTGGGATTTTTAAAATCTCTTAATTTTGAATACATATCGAATTTTATAAAATACTCATACTCTTCAAATATTTACACACTGGTTATCAGAGCTGTGTAAGTGTGAAATCATTTTCAATTTTAAATCAACAATTTTTTTCTATCCAGTTTTCATTACTTATTCTTCGCTTAGGATTGAGGTTTAAAATTTTTGAATTTTCCATTCTCTCAAAGCAGTTATGAATTCACACATCAACATATTCATAGCAAGATTGAAAAAACCAATGCCCAATCAAAAAAAGGTTTAACACTGAATGAGTATTGAAAAGGCTGCAATCTTTTATGTGTGTGCATTCTTTAACTCAGTACCAATCATTAGTTCAAAGACACCCTGGTAAATAACTTTTTGATAAAAAGGAAGATTTTTGACAATTGCTCAATTGTAAAAATTCAAACCGGCGTTACCCAATTTAAGTTTTTTGGTAGAGGCGATTTTATATCATATGTTCGGGATTCTATATAAAACAGTTGTATTAACATTTACGTTTTAAATATAATTCATGTTTTATCTTCAAAATGTTTAAAATTTTCTTTAAATTAGATAACTACTTCGCATAAGCTTTACATTTAGGTTGATAAAATTTTATTGAAAATATTTTAAAAATCCTAGTGTCTTTAATAAAAAAATAGCTCATCATAAAAATTGTATCGCCGTTCGGCGTAAGTTTGTAGGTCCCTCTCATTTGTGTGACAGCAAAGGCGCACGCTACAAATCGGAGGAGAAGCTCGGCCAAAACTTAGCAAAAGTGGCAAGGCCAAAATATGATTATTATAAATAAATTTAGTTTCAAACAGGTCGCAACCCTCTTCAAACCCCTCAAAAGTATTCCCAATATTATTTAGTTGTGAACCCGCATGAGTCCGAAATTAGCATTTTTTACCAGAATTTCCAGATTTTACCGGAAATCGTACTTGGTTTTCTGGCAACTGAGAGGACAAATAAGAGAGTACGTAAGGTCATCTCTTTGTCAGAAGCTACCTGGTGGAAAATTCTGGTAAATCTGTCAAAAGATCCGATGTAGTGTGTTTGACAACCAAATTCTAAACAAAAGAGAAGTGCACTCTGCTAATGCATGTTGAAAAGTAAATAATTCCTTGCTTGAGTGGATGCTAATGAGTTTTGGTTAAATTACAAAACGCTTAAAAAGGTATTAGCCGTAATTTTACGTTTAAAACCTTTGAAACTTTAACACATTACCACCCTATACTCTATATGTGATTGACCATTGAACTAAATCGTTGTTTATTTGGGTAAGATTAAAATATATTTTACTATTCAATATTGGAGTTGGTGTGAAACAAAAATTAATAATTTATTGTTATGTATGCAAATGAGAACTACAATTCTGAGCTTATTGAGCATCTCTTAGTCAAACACAAAGGCAATTTTGCTTGATCAAGTTTCGAATCTAAGAAGAAAATGTTTTTAACAAACAAAAGGTTAATAATAAAATTTGAAGGATTTAAGATATTGCGTATGGTAGCATGAAACGTCACAATCTTCTTAATTGTCAGGCTGTTGATATGGCTACGAAAAAGTGACAATGGAAACACATAGCTGAAGATTTCATACTTACAGTGGGATAAACTTCAAACCTCTAATATAAATTAGTTAAATTTAGTTATTATTTTTTTTATCAATTTTAAGTTTTCGTTTGGAATAATTTTCATGAACTTATCTATTAGGAGATCTCTTTCCGATATCTATTGAAATTTTGACATCCTCACTTTTTGGAAAAAGAAGTTCAAGATACAAGTTTATGTGCAAAAAATAAATTAAACAATAAAAGTCTCCTTATATTTATGGAACTTATAATAGAAAAATTTTTATTTCATTACCCAGACTTTATGAATAGCCTACTCTATAAGTAATAGTAGAAATTCCGAATTAGTAAGTTCAGTCAACACGTCATTCAAAAGTTTTGAACAAAGTCACTTTTCTCTTTTGTGAAAATTTGGGACTATCTTATGCGAGTATTGTCGACAAAATGTTAGTCAATGAATGACTAAAAATTAACGAATAAATGGTTAATCGCGATTAATGATTAAAATTAATTAAGCGATCGCTGTGGTGTAGTGGTTAGAAGTGCGCACTACCATTCCGCAGGGTGAGCGTCCGAGCCCAGTTCCGGCAAAAAAAAAAAGAAAATGTTTTTTGTAATAGTGGTCGTCCCCCGGCAGGAGTCGGCGTAAAACTGTAGGTCCCTCCCCTTTGTGCGACAACGCCAAGGCGCATGCCACAATCGGAGGAGTAGCCCTAACATATGTCGGTGGTCCTCTGCAATAACGGCACAATTCAAAATTTCAGGTTTAGAAAAATACATAATTTGAAAGCTTACAGTATGACTGCATATAATCCGGAATAATTACGTTCCAAGACATATTATTGCTAAATTACGAAACAAAAAATCTTTAATTGGCTCTACTGAAATATATGAAATTTTTAGTTGTGTCGATATGTAAGCGCCTTTCTATTATTATTAGTAATCATCAATAGAATTTCAAATTACATAAACCCAGTCACAGCCCTTTTTTGTATTCGACGCTTCCCGAAATCACATAATACATAAAATAAATAAAAGCTGTTTTGATTAGTATTACATAAACTGGAAACTGTTAAAAATAAGTGCGCTTGTGTACAGAGATTTTAGAACCTATTTAGTTCCTAAAATGTCTGTTTGCAACACATAACAATAAAAATGCACATCAAATTGCTAAGAATGATGAAGGAAATCGATTCAGACATGCCTGTTTAACTGGCCGTGCGTGCTCAAAACAAACACATGTTAATTAAGGAGCTATTCAAGTATTATGTAACCCCCAGTGGAAATCGGGGGTCTTGGTTTCCTTATTTTTAATAACAACGGGCAACATTTCTTCAAATAAGTAAAACATTAATTACACACGCACACATTTTGCCTGCAATTTCGATCACAATTGAACACTGCACTTCACTCTCGTTTCGAATTTTTGAAAGCGTTTTTTAAGCTATTTAGTGGTTTAACACTTCTTGTGCGCACTTGATATTGTAAAAAAAATATGCGCAATTCGATCCATAACTACATTTTTTTGTAAAGAACGCCCGTTTGCTTTAAATTTGTAAAAATACAATTATTTTTTTATTTTGTATACGTCTGTCATTTGTTACAAATGAAGAAAAGTCCAAGAGTTGCCAAGTATAAATATCTTTATATCTATTTATTAAAATAATAATTTACAATAATAATTTATTTAATTAATACTTTATTAAAATACAAATTTGAAGTGCAAATACATTTGTAAAACTGTTTATCACAAAATGTTATTAATTGTTTGCAAGCATACTATAGTTTTCATGCATTTTGAGAATAAATAATCTAATATGTGTACATATATATCGTCGTTTAAAGTACAAAACCGCGTATCGTCATTCTTCAAAACCGTGTGACTGACATTGGCTGCCAAAAATTGGATTTGCTCACAAAAACTCTTGGCTCAATTCTTATCCATTCGTCCTGAAATATACTAGCCAGAATACGTTTGCTTTATAAAAAAGATAACCATTTTGAAATATGGGTGACTTTACTCTCTAGAAAATAATTTATGCAATTACGCGGTTTTGCATTTTCTTGATACGCGGTTTTGTACTTTAAACGACGATATGTATAGCATGTACTTACGGCGGCCGCCGTAGCAGAGTGATTACATGTGCGTACTTCCACTCCATAGGACCATGGTTAAATACCTGGTCAGATCATAACACAAAATAGCAGTCGTCCTTCGGCACGCAATGGCATACCTTCTAGTATATTTCTGCCTTGAAAACTCTTCTTATAAAATCAGAACTCATGCCTCAAGTTTGAGCAGAAGTTCGGCCAAACACTTAGAAAAATATTTTAGCACCAAATATTTATTTGTTTACTTATTTTAAGGGAGATGGCAATCTTCTGGTTTCACATTTTGGGTACAAAAATTTCAACCCTGATACAACAAATAGTATTAGTACTGAATGATAATGACAGATTGCATTCCCATAAACGTCCAATCATACATGATTGAGTTTTTTTTTTGCATTCACATTCTCTATGTGAATGGGTATCAACCATTCCATAACACACTACATATTTTGTGTTTGCAATTTGTAACCAATCTCAAGAGTGGTTGTTAAATTTTTTAAATCAAACAATCACATTTTTTAAACGAAAAAAATGAGAATGCACACTCAATTGATTCAATCATTACACAGCTCTGCTGGTTATAAATGTTATCTTCTTGCTTTTTACAGATACTACCGTTTACTTCCCCATGTCTGCAGTTAAATTCAATCTTCCATTCAACGAGAAGTCACAGAGTATATTTTCCAAAATACCAATTGGACGCTTTCAAATACTACCCGTTACTACCATCGACTACCTTTACACCTTAGAGAATAACGATCTCTTGCGCGTCAATAGCAGCACCGGTGAGGTTTTCATGAAGGATGATTATCAAACCGCACACAAGAGGACGAAAATCATCTTAAGCGCCATTGCGCGTAACGCCCACAAGGCGCCTAATAAAATACCACAAATGACTTTGGAAGTGACGCCACAAGCGGAAGCCGCATACTGCAGCAACTTGGAAAATGTCTGCTTTTGGGCCGGAGCACAGTACACGATTATCGAGGATGTAAGTCGGGAGACGACTGCCATTGATGCGATTGAAATGATTTCATTTGAGCCAATACGCGTGGGCACCTTGAATCCACGTGCCACACGTTACCTCTGTCCCACCATGGATGTGAAGTATACGCTGCAGAATGGTGGCAAATATTTCACTTTAAAAAATAATGAACTCTACACTAAAATGCCATTGGATTTTGAGTATTTCAATACAACAGAGGTGGCGAATCTCGCGGTCAGCGTTGCCTGTACGGTCAAAGTGAGTGAGGAGAAAGTGGTTACTTACAACAAGACGCTGCCTGTAGCGCTTTTAGATCGTAACGACAACGGGCCGGAGTTGCAAAACGAGGACGCATATAATTTCTTGCTGGATAATCCACATTTTAAGCAGGTGAGTGAGGGGCGGACGGACTATGTCTGTAGATGGGGAAGGGAGTGATAAATATGTTTACACACTGTGATTTACCATCAGCCCTGGCATTGAATAGTTGAAGTTAAATTATTGATTGCTTACGCTTTGGCTTATCGCACGCTACTTGCTTACCACATTCGCCATAAAACAAGTTTATTTTATTATTTTTAGTCAGTTTGACTATTATTATTTGTCTGCCAGTGCGTCTATCGCCTTTCGTGCATTTTTGTTTTTTTCCCCCACTTTGTTGTTATTGCATGATACCGGCAACTTTAGTGGTAAACTAATTCGCATCACGCAACCGGTATTCGTCTGCTTGTTGGGCGACTATAAATGTTCGCCGATATACATATGTATACAAGTAGACATGCCTTCTATCTGCGTACTCCTTAATCATTATGACCGTCTGCTCGCTGTCTGGCTTGGATGTCTTCCTTATAGCGCGCCCTCTTTCATTTGTCTTGACTGCCGGTTAGCGGTTGGAGGTTAAACTTAATTTGTGAATTGCCATTCATTTCCTGCATTAATTTTTATTTATTTTTTGCTGAAAAACAAACCTTAAATTCTGCTTTCGAATTCGGTAAGTGGCATTGATTTGTTTTAAGTAATTAGTTAGCTTCGTGGAATGTATTTTAGATATCTATAATTGGAATTTAGAGGACCTTGGTTCCGACTTCAACTTGCATCACAAATCTTTCTTTCCTGTATGATAAGAGATTATCTTAGCAAAACTTTTTTCTGTTGAATTGCACTCATGGTCCTCGCTATAAAGGACTATAAAAAAGCTTGCCTTGGATGGGCATCTTAAGGAGAATACTAAAGTTAGCGTGGTGACCGATCTTAAATAGATCTACCCATACTAAAAATTCTTCGCATATGCCAATTAATTGTGAAATCAGCCTAGAACAGGTAAAAGGCAGAGTTTAAAAAAAATGTATAATTGTCTCTCGTGTCGATGGATCCAAAGTGGACAGTGGCTTAGTACCAGATATATTTTATGAATGTTCTATGCAGATGCATATTTTCACTTTTAAGCTTCTACCACGAGCAGGCACGGTGAATTGAGAGTGCCTTCAGAGCAATAGGAACAACCACGAAGCAGTGCAGTAAAAATTCAGCTTTTTTCAGGCTTCTCAAAAGGCAAACTACTGAACTCCAGGCAGAGATTGTGAGTCGGCGTAGAGCTTGACGGCAAGATAAATAGTCATCCCGGATAGGAGGATGGTTCCAGGTGCAGAAGTTCATGCATGTGGTGACATTTTTTGATCGTCATTTACCAGGTAGTGGCGAAACACGACTCTTGTGCATCTGGTTGAAGCAGCTCACGACTTACGGCGTTTACCGGGTAGCAACCGAACATCCTTGCGAATGCGCGTCCGCGTCAACTGAGATTAGACGAGCATTCAGCGATGGTTTGTGAGCAGAGTTTGGGACCCACCACGTACAAACCCCTGCTAATGAAAAGTTCAATCCACCCTCCAGCATAAAGAGATCCATCAAGCTACGTGGATGAATGCAGATCGAAAAACGAGATACCAAATTCATTATGTTGTGATAGACGGAAGACACTTTGCTTTGGACATGCGTACGTTCCAAGGATCTAACATTCAAGTAAATATCCAGCAATGTAAAGAAAGCTTAAAGCTCCAATCGCAACAGACCGACAGCATCTTCGCCGCTTGTCCCTCACACCTGCTTTCTGAGACCGCTCTTCAAGAAGCCGGCTAATTCGAGAAGGAGAACCAGCGTCCGTGAGGTCACCAGGGACTTGTAGCACGCATTGGACGAAGCTACAGACTGGATGCCTTTTGATGTCGCCCCAACACTACCTGCACGACGAGGCCCAGACGCTCCCCATTAAGGAGCATAACACAATACTATGCAAGCAGTTCCTAGAAAAGTGTCACAGACGCAGGCATCCGAACAGACAACTGCTTGCAGAAGAGCTCTCGACAAGGCACGTCAGGAGGTATCTCTACGAACTGACGGTCGAAGTCCAAAGGTTCATAAAACAACCTCTTGGCCCAACTACATACCGACAGGCCTTAAACGGCATCCACAGGGAGACGGTCTCGAGTTATATAGACTCTCGGTCTGTGAATGCCGTTTTAGGCTCACAACCACCCGACGTGGACGGGACAGAGCTTGGTCCCGGGAGACCCGCACCACAATAGCTCACTTCGCTCTGGCTATTGCAGCAGGCTAAACTCGCACCTGAGCAGAGTAAACGTAGATGTGCCCAGCCAGTGCCCGGCATGCGGAGAGTCGCCACATGGCTCACAACACCTCTTCACATGCCCCCAAAACCCCACCCAGCTAAGGCCCCTGTCCCTATGGACGGACCCTGTTGAAGTTGCGCACTTCTTGGGCCTCCCCTTAGCTGAAGCAAACGACGACGTTGATGGAGGAGCCGACACTAGCGGGGTTTAGTAGCCACCACACCGATCATTACGTACTGTCACCGAAAAAGTAATCGGATTCCAGCGAGCCCATGCGAGCAATTAGTACGATGAGGAACGTCACGAAGCTGTAGATAGAAAAGATGCCACCTGCATTGCCGGGATCGGGCGCAACCAGAGCTGTGTTGGATCGATTTAAGGAGATAAAGAGGGAAGCGAGACGTATTTGTCGTAATAAGAAAACGGAGGCCAATATACTTGAGTGAAAAGAGCTTGAAATGCTGAGCGGCCGAAAATGTTATCAGAAAGTTTGACGGCTTGCTAAAGGGTTCAAGACCATGGCAAATTTCTCTAAGAACAACCATGGTGATCTAGTGACCAATGTCCAGAATGCACCTAAATTATGGAGTGAACACTTGTCCGCAATATTGAATGACAGCAGCACTGAAGGTATTGGGGAATACGAACCTGTCCCCGTCGATGATAATGGAGTCGATGTTCAGCTTTTCAAGCACTGGTGCGAGGAATTGATAAGGGGCATATATCAACTCTTATGAAGAATATTGTCGGACTAACGCATGCCCATCGACTGGAGTTTCAGTGTACTCTGCCTAATCCACAAGAAACCTGATTCTGTCATATGGCGTATAAGGTCCTAACAAACGTATTGTGTGAAAGGATGAATCCCACCAACAATAAACTGATCTGATGCCTTATCGACATCATCGGTAACAAAAAAACGCCAAGTCCATGCAGCCTTTTCCAAGGAATAAGGAGGCAAAATGAATGGGTCTGCAGAGGGCTTTCCAGGTAAAGCCCAATTTGAGCCGCGTAAAGGTAAAACTGGGCGCAATTTGCCATCCTTTTACTGTAGTTGTGAGCGAGGAAGAAAGATGTAATAATAAGGAAGACGTGTAATCCATTAAGCAGCCCCTGTGATTGTCAGAATTCTTGGGCGGGGGAGGCTATTTTTTCGAAATGCTAACCGCAGTATTTCCGGAAGGGCAGTCTAGTCTGGATTCGCCAAAGGGGATGAAAAATGGATCCAGGTAAAAATTCTCCTGATTATCACATCCGCTCTCAGTGGCCACAGAGTGAACTGTTGGCAAGAGCAGACCATCTAACTTAACCTTTCAAAGCTATTATAAGTTTTAAGCCTGTTTGGACAAATGCTAGAATATTTTTTCATTAATCATTCGTCTACATTTGTTACAGGACGACCCCATTGGGAGCAAGATCATTTTCACCGACAAAGATTCGCTCAAATCGAATGCGCACTTAACTTATCAAATTTTCAACGACACCAGTGAGTTGGTGCGTCCCGATTGCACAGCTTTCGAGTCAGATCATACCGGCAAACGAAAATCAATTTTTAGCTGTCGTATGTTATAATGCAGAAGATAATTTTTTTGTATTGCTGGTTGTTAAAATTTATAAATTTTTCAGAAATACATTTCGCACGCAATGGCATACTTAGTCAATCTGACTATTGTTTCTCCTTGGTCGCCAGTGATAGCACGATTGTCGCGAATACAACAAAAACCGTAAGGCCTTCGCTTGTTCAATTTGAAAAGTAGAAAATTTTCACATTTCCTTACAGGCCAAAGCGAATATTTGCATACGCACCGATCCGGGTAAGATACACGAGGCTGATCGGCCACGTGTCATGGAGTTGCGCCAGCATCGTGGTAAGGGTCGGCGTTTAACCAACTCTGCTGAGTCGATATTCGACAGCGATGATCGGGGTTTCTTAACGCCAAGCATTTTGAGTAGCTATCCGAAGGATGTCTTTATACATCGCACTGCCATGTCGTATAGTCGAGTGGCCGAACCAGAGCATTTTTTAAGTTTAATAGAAATGTCGGCGGTACAGTTCACAATTGCCGAGGATCGTAGTGGCGCTTTTGGTATAACAACGACGGCTGGCATTGTATATGTAAAGGATACGAACGCGCTGGAGAGCTCGCCGGAAACAGTTTACTTGTGAGTAGGTTTAAAATAATATTAATTCTAGGGAGTCAATATTAGTATTGGGAATCTTACACAACATTGCCTACGATGACTACGCTACCATCTCCTTTCTCCTTTTGTAATTTCCTTTACACTTTTCCTTCTAATTTCTTTACAGTCTCAACATCAGCTGGCATGACGCCTATCAGCGTTCGTTTGTTGTCAATGTGCATCTCGTCGATGGACATGTCGACAATGCGACCTGCGAGCAAAAGCTCAAATCTCGCAGTCAAACTTGCGCTCAGTTAAAATACCAGAAGCAATGCACGAAATTTTGCGGGCTCGGCACCAATGGTGGCGCATGTGTGTGGCGCGGTTCGAATGCGGGTTTCTTCGGACGCAATTACGCCTCGTGTGTACCCGATGCTACACATTGTCCGGACAATATTTGCGATCCGCTGGAAGAGCTTAATACTTTTATTTGTCCACAGGACTGCGTTGGAGGTGGCAAAATTATGGGTCCACACACAACCAACAACAATAAACGTGGTATTTACTCTGCGTCGGGTACTTGCACTTGTGAGGACAATGGCAAATGCCTATGCGCGCCACTCGATGATGAAGAGCCGCGTCCGAAACGCAAGCGCAAAAATGAAGCAAAGTCAACTGATGCCACGAAATTGGCCCAATTCGGTGGGCTGGAGAGCAACGCGTTGCCAACGCAAAATATTTTAAACAATGAAGTGTTAGACCGCGATGCAATGAGCATTCATGTGGCCGGTTTCACCTGTGGCAGATCTTGCATTCTACTCGTTTTCACCTGTCCGCTCGTGCTCATCGTTCTTATTATTTGCTTAATTGCATCACAACGTAATCTTGTGCGTCGTGCATGTGGCAAGGAGGCGCTCGTACAGAAGTCATCTGCGAATGGTGGCGATTGTGATGTGCGTAATGGTGATGTGCCGCTGATGCAGCTTGAAAGTGGTTTGGTAAAATTCGATATGGCGGACTCGAAATGGGAGTTCGATCGTGCGAAGCTTCAGTTGGATGTGGTGCTGGGCGAGGGAGAATTCGGTAAAGTCGTGAAGGGTTATGCCACCGATATTGCAGATATACCTGGTGTTACCACAGTGGCAGTCAAGATGCTAAAGAGTGGCGCCAATTCTGTAGAGTATATGGCCCTATTGTCGGAATTTCAATTACTACAGGAGGTTTCGCATCCGAATGTGATAAAGTTGCTGGGCGCCTGCACCAAAGACGATACACCATTGATCATTATTGAGTACGCGAAATATGGGTCGCTACGCAGCTATTTGCGCTTGGGGCGAAAGATCGAGTGCTCGGGCGTCGATTTCACCGACGGCGTGGAACCAATGACTGTGAAGAATATTCTCGCGTTTGCATGGCAAATTTGCAAGGGTATGGCATACTTGACGGAGATTAAGGTGAGATGGTTTAAGTATATATTTTAAGTTTTTAGAATACAAATTTGTAGCTTTTAATTGTCGGCAGCAAAAACATTGCTGATAAAAAAGGCCTCAACAGTCTAAAGTGACTGAGGGTTATTCCAGACAGGTCAGACTGCTCCAGAATTGAAAAGCTCATTGTGCCGCTGTGGTTTTTGCTACTTCACGCAGTCCAAGAATGATACAGAGAAAATTGTCTAGAATTGAAAACATTTAAATTCTTGGCCCACAAGGACGAATAGGTATTGAACATGTCCCTTTAAAACTTTATCCTTGAATATGCTTAAAAATTTCTAATAGTTATTTTTAGGAAACAATGTATGTTAAGAACTCGAATTTCGTCCTTTTAACTTTATTAGGGGTTTTTAAATACCTATTCGTTCTTCAGCACCAAAAAATTTTATTCTTTTCAATTCTTGAGACTTGTATCTTTTATTTTAGACCCATACTGTTATGCAGTGTCTCAAAGTTCAAACGCAAAGAACGGCTGATAGCCCTAACATCATTGCGTCTAAAGCATTGGAATTGTGGTAGGACGAAAAGTGGACCAAACGGTTTTCCAAGCACTGACGCATAGCTGCCCATTTTACTTAAGACTTAGAAGAAGGATTAGAAGGTCCTATTTCAATACATGCGGCCCATAAACGCAGCACCTCAGTTTGGCCTTCATCCGCTAGACTACAGTAGATCGCCGATTATGCATATGATTACCATATGTCCACCCCATGGATTGTAATCTGTTTCCTATCAATGCTCTTAGCTTAGTCCCTCTCTGCTTGAGATGGAATTCGTCTAACTTTTTCAGAAAATGCTTGGTTGTTTTTCAGGCGCCGGTATAGCAGCAATGCTTCTTCTGAGCTTTATTCATGAGATCTCTGACGTACGTCCGTCTCTATATGCTTGGAGCTGTAAGTGTATCCGATCCAAAAAGACGCCACAAAGAAGTGCCCTGCGCCAATCCATCAGCTAATTCGTTAAGTTGAATGAGCTTGTTGCATTTTGCAATGAAGTTCAGCCTAAACTTACATTTCTGGATTAGTTTTGAGGAATGCGCGCAGTCTTCAAGGCCTTTGGAGCAGCTCGGCGGCCAGTCAAGACACTGATTTGATGTTCACGCCATCTTTCGCCAATTATCCAGGCTGCTAATTTAAGTATTGCAAATAACTCCAATGAGAAAAAAAACTGTTGCCGTTATACTTAAAGCAGCAAAGCATCTGAAGTTACTCTTCAACTTCAGCTCTATT